GTTGGTGGCGCACGCCTTTAATCCCAGCACTTGGGAGGCAGAGGCAGGTGGATCTCTGTGAGTTCGAGACCAGCCTGGTCTACAAGAGCTAGTTCCAGGACAGCCTCCAAAGCCACAGAGAAACCCTGTCTCGAAAAACCAAAAAAAAAAAAAAAGAAAAGAAAAGAAAAGAAAAGAAAAAAAGAAAAGGCTCTGTACATGCTTGATTGTCTCTTACAGATAGAATAGGCCCTGCACATGCTTGACTGTCCCTTAAAGATAGAATAGGTTCTGCACATACTTGACTATCCCTGACTAGATAGAATTGCTCAGACTGAAGAGACTTTAGATCGGTGATACTTGTTCATAGATAATGGGGCATGTTGAAATGCATGCAGTTCATGTCTAAATACTTTTATATGTTTCATGTACAAGTTACACACATTGCCTGAAGGTAATTTTGTATGATATTTTCAGGGTGTTGTGTGTTGACTTTGACCTGTCTCACATGGTCAAGTGTGGAGTAGTGGCCATTCTTAGTGCAATGGGGTGTTCATTGTGGTTTTGATTTACTTGGTTTATTCTTATAACCAGTTGGCTTTTTGTATGTGTTCCTTTGGGAAATATGCAGTTAGGCAATTTGGCTTTTTTATTTTGTTTGCTTTTTGAGACAAGGTTTCTTTGTGTAGCCCTGGCTATCTTGGAAGTCACTGAGATCTGCCTCTCAAGTGCTAGGATTAAAGCCATGTGGTACCACTGCCAGGCCCCATTTGTTTGTTTGTTTGTTTTTAATGTGATTTCTTGTTACTTAATTGTTTAAATCATTTGCATATTTTGGCTACTAATGATAATCTGTATATGGTTAGATTTTTTAAAAAGATGACCATTTGCTTTATAGAAGATTCCAGGTCTTATATTTATGTCTTCAGTTCTTTTTTGAGATAACTTCTATAATTGGGATGACAGAGTCATTTAATTCATGTACATGCTTATATTTAAAGAGAGTACCCTTTTAATTGTGTTATTGGCACCTTTGTCAAAGATCAGTTGGCTGTGATTTGTGGATTTACTTTGGCTTTCTGTTCTGTCCCATTTATCTCTGTGACTTTTTCTGTTAACACCATTGTGTTTTGGTTATGACAGGTTACTTTTGTTTCATAAAAATTGCATGGAGTCTGGAGTTCACTAGTAGTGTGGGCATTCTAACAAAGCTACTTCCACATCTTGAGAAAGTTTAACCATTATTTTATAGTTTTTTGTGTAAGGGTTTTTCATCATCTTTGTTAACTTTATTCACAGAGTTTTACATTTTTATATTTTCTTATATATATGGAAATATATGCATTGGGATTGGCTTTGTCTAACATTAGATAGTCCTTGGTCTTGGCTCCCGATTTCAATTGCGATGTTCTTCCCCACGCCTTTATTTCCAGTCTGTGTGTTCCTGCTCCTGTGTTTCTTGGAAACAGCAAACAGGTAGCTTCCAACCCTCCCCTTTAAATGCAGTTAACCTGTTTGTGTCTTGTTAAGTATTTGGTTGTCAGTGTTCAGCCCTAGCTGGGTCCAAGCTTGGCAGTCCTCTTACCCTACTTTCTGAGCTCTGGGATTATAAGTGCATGCCACCATGACCAGCAGTCTTCATCTTCCAAGAGAGTTAAGACTTTACAGTAGGGTTATTATTGAGGAGTGTGTTAATTCTTTTAATTTTGTTGTTGTCCTGGTTGGTTAATGATGTTTGATTTCTAATGCTCATTTTGTGTGCGTGTGCGCTCACTGGCATGTGCATTCCACAGCACTCTTATGGAGGTCAAGAGACGTCTCTGAGAGTTGGTCCCTGCCTTCCACATTGCTTGAGGCAGGGTCTCTCTTGCTCACTATTTGGGATGCCAGCGCTGGCCCACAAGTTTCTCTCTGTGGGGTAGAATCTCTTGTCTGTACCTCCCTTCCAGTCTGCTGTATGCAGGCTGGGTTTACAGGTGTGAGCCACCACACCAGCTTTGTGAGTTCTCTGGATCCCAACACCAGCCCATCCTGTGTGCTCTTTCCTTGGCCTTCCACTGAGCTTCCCACTTAGCAGATCCCCTCCATGATAGACTTTCTGAGTTTCTCAGTCTCTCACCCAAGGCTTACATTGACTTCTTCATTCTTCTGTTTACTGAATCTTTTTATTACATCTTGTTTTGTTTTATTTTGTTTGAGACAGGGTTTCTCTGTGTAACCCTGGCTGTCCTGGAACTTGATTCATAGATCAGGCTGACATTGAACTCAGAAGTTCATTTGTCTCTGGTTCCTGAGTGTTGGAATTAAAGGTGTGTGCCACCAAAGCCCAGCTATTACATTAAATTTTGGAGTTGCTTTATTGGCTCTATGGAATTTCAGAGTTTTTAAAAATTGTACTTGGATTTTCTTGGAATATTTGGACAAATATCTGTGGTGAATAGATACTGTTGTTTCATCTTCTGTTTGAGGCAAGAGTTTTCTTTGTAGTATGCTTTGAATAACAAATGATGTCTGTTTCAAGTTTGTGAAATTTAAAATATTCAGTGTCTGGCATATAGTATACAAAGTGAATGTTAGACCTTACATTTCTGTTGTTTGTATTTTCAGACAGGGTCTTACTCTGTAGGCTAGGCTGCCCTTAAATTTCCTGTCTTTGTGCCTTATCCCTGTGAGGGTATAATCTATCCCATTTGTCTTTATTACTGTTTCTTATTCCATAGGTGTTCATCTGTCTTGTTTTTCACAGACTTATTATCTGCTAAGCAGAGCTGAATGCATTGTCAAGTGTATCTGACCAGGACCTGTACAGTGACACTGTGTTACTTTGGATCAAAGACAATGTTTGCTGTTTCCTTCCTTCCTTCCTCCCTCCCTTCCTTCCTTCCTCCCTTTCCTTTTCTTTTTCTTTTTTTTCTTTTTTGAGATAGGAATCTCACTAGGTAGCTCTAGCTGGCCTATAACTCACTGTGTGGCCTGTGTTAACCTCAACCTCAAGATGTCCACTTAGGTCTGTCTCTCAGTTGCTGGGATTAAATATGTAATCCATCATACTCAGCCCTCTTTCTTTTTAAATTAATTTTGGACAGTTTCAAACACAAAAAAGTAAGGTGGACCACTGAGACAGCTCCTCAGCTCCATGCCTTCTTCCATCTCTAGGAAGATGGTCAGTGTTGTTCACTCCTGCACCCCCAGTTCTGTTCTTTCTCTCCCATCATTGTGGCTCCCTTGTTATACCTAAGTTCCATGTCTAATTTGTTTTGGTAATCACTAGAGCTTTTTAGAGAGTGCCTTATTTTCTTAACAAGCAATGATTAATGAACAACTGAGTCTTTCCTTGGATTCATTCATGAACCAACTTGTTCATTTTGCTTTTGAGTCTGGAGAAGCTGTGGGTGGGACTGATAATAGATTGTGTGAGACTGGATGTTGTTCCAATCTATCCAGGTTTAGACATGGTAGTCCCTCCCAACTGGCAAGGTCTCTGACTAATGTGAGAAATGAATTAAACTGGGGGGAAAATTGGCATCACTGGTCTACAGGTGTTCAGTGTACTGCTTAAGCATTCATTATGTGCATTCTGTGCCTTCTGGTCATGTTGTCTGCATTAAAGAAGCAAAATTAGAGTTGAAAGATTATGCTTTCATTGTCACACCACACCGTCACCAGTGTCCTAAACTGGCCTCAGACTGACTGTGGGTGGACATAGCTCATACAGTTGTATGATAATGTTGACAGTCATCAAGTTAAACAGAAATAAGACGCTGTAAGCGTCAGCTTGATGACAAGTCTCATAGTTTCATTGTTTCACCTTAGATGTTTCTGGTGCTTTGCTGGCTTCTAACTTACAAGACTTACTATGCCTCTGATTGGACAAAATATCAGACAGTTATTTATTCAAGAAATACTTATTGAGCATCCATATGCTGGGAAGTGTGTTACACCTTGACTTAAAGTAAAAGGTAAACTAAACAGATACATTTTCCATTTGGACCTTAAAGGAAAGCTGCTCAGTTGATTCTATAAAGACTCAGCCTCTTACTTTAGAGTGAATTTCAAATGACTTTTTAATTATTTCTGTGACAAGCTTCTGAGCATTCAAGGCTTTGGGGTTACTGCATTTCTGTGTGTGTTTATAAACGTAAAACCAGGCATTCCAGACTCAACAGTGTCAGTGCAAAGACAGTGATTGAAAATGGACTAGTTAGTGTGTCTCTCCTGCAATGAGATTCCAGGATGATGGGTGACAATTAAGTTGATTGTGTGGGTGAAACTGATGTTGAGAGCCTTTGCCTACAGGGAAGTCAAAATGCCTTCAACATTTGCCTTTGTCTTGAATGCCAGAGAAATGTGGGTGAGGAGGATGCTAGAGCAGATGAAAACCATGGGACCCACTACCGTGTCAGACGGCAGGGCACTGTCTTGTGGCTTTGGGAAGAAAATGTGCATTAGATGTTATGTTCTGGCAGAGTGTGGCCAGAGGGCTGGATTTGGTGACTTGTCTCCATGTGTGTGAAATCAAATGATTTTAGTTCTTTTATGGAGAAGTTTCTTAAAACTTTGGTTGCGCTGGATGTCAGTGGTGCACGCCTTTAATCCCAGCACTCGGGAGGCAGAGGCAGGCGGATCTCTGTGAGCTCGTGGCCAGCCTGGTCTCCAGAGCTAGTTCCAGGACAGCCCCAAAGCTACACAGAGAAACCCTGTCTCGAAAAACCAAAAAAAAAAAAAAAAAAAAAAAAAAAAAAAAAAAAAAAAACTTTGGTTGCTGGAACATCAGAAGGCTTTCTGGTTTAGTAGAAGATTAAGGTTTGGAAGGAGGCTTGGCTTTCTCTAACTGATGTTTTCTGACTAGGTACTTCGTAACTCAGGAAGACCTCATTTATTCCCAGTAGTGTTTTACTAAGCTCTTTCAGGTAACTTTAAAAAGACTGTGTGACTTCATGTGTAGTAGATGAGACCTTGAACTCAGTTTTTATTTATTGTTGTCAGCAGAAAACTCTAGTGAGATTTCTCTTTGTCTGCAGTTACCAGCGACTGCTGCAGACCATTGCCGTCCTTGAGGCTCAGCGTTGTCAAGCAGTCCAAGACCTGGAGAGTTTAGGCAAACACCAGAGAGAAGCACTAAAAAATCCTATTGGATTTGTGGAAAAACTCCAGAAGAAGGTAACCCAAAAATGTACTTTGATACTTTTAAACATGTATTGGAGTGTACCTGGTAATTTAAGATAATTATGTTTCTTTTTCTGTGAGTCTGTGCTTTAAGAATATTTAACTTGCCAGGTGGTGGTGGCACACACCTTAATCACAGCGATGGATCTCTCTGAGTTTGGGGCCAGCTTGTTCTACATAGCAAGTTCCACAACAGCCAGGACTGTTATACAGAGAAAACCTGTCCCCCCCCCCCCAAAACAGAAACAAAACAAAACAAAAAAAATATTTAACTTCACCCCCTTCCAGTTTAATCCTGTTACCAAAGACAGCAGCATCTTCTTTCCCTGTCCAACACACAGTGACTTTTGCCCAGATGGAAAGAGCTGAGCTCTCTCATTGTCTGTGTGAACAGAGCAATTTTTCACATTCTTTGTCTGTTCTCCACTTGTCACTTCCTCCTGCTTCCGGGACTTCAGGATTATTGCTGCTCTGAGGCCTGGTGCAGAGGACTTATTAATTATTAACTGCTTTTGTTTGGGTTGCATTTGCTACTGAAAGGAAAAGCAAATGTTTATAATACAGAGACGACACAAAAATTTATTTTATACATGTTTAGAGTATAACCAAGTCTATGAAGAGAAACTATGAATTTCATTTAATTTTGAAAGAGGTTTCTTTTTTTCCTTTGTGTGAAACTAGCTAGTTTTCCTTTTTATTTGAAACAAATTTTAACAGTGAGCCATTCAAATATACTCTAAGTGCCTCAAATTAGGGAGCCCCCTAACTAATCAGCATTAAACACATAAGTACATTGTGTGGGGGTGTTGTTCTCTGGTACAACCAAGGGATGGAACCAAGACCCTGTGTACAAAAGTGCTCTACTGCCTCTGAACCTTGCTTCACATATTTGAAAGCCTCAACATTAGCATTGTGTGAAAACATTAAAACCAAATCTGTGAGTGCTTCTCTATGTAGTGAACCCGGGGTAACTGAGAAGTGTGATTAATCAACACACTGTTCTTTGTCTGGTCTCAGACCACGCTACATTCCATAGTACAGGCATAATCTACCTGTCGATTATTCAAAACTGGTTTCAGAGCTGTATTATACCTTCTCTCTGAAATAGGGATCCCCTCGGTCCAGTGTGGTGGTGCAGATTTAGAATCCAAAATTGCCTTACGAGTGAGGGTCCTGAGTTGATGAAGGTCGCCCTCAAACCTACTAATCAGATTTGAGGTCGCTACAAGAGACACTGGTTAAGAAAACAAAAAGTACCCTAAACAACAAAAGCTTAAGACATTAAAATAAATAAATGGAAAAAAAAAGTCCATCTTTTATCAGTATTAAAGTTTGCTTGAGCACAAAGACATTGTTCTTAAGATGGCAATTTTTGGCAAATTAAAACTGTTAGAGAAATAAATAACAAAGCCGGGCGTTGGTGGCGCACGCCTTTAATCCCAGCACTCGGGAGGCAAAGGCAGGCGGATCTCTGTGAGTTCGAGGCCAGCCTGATCTCCAGAGCAAATGCCAGGACAGCCTCCAAAGCCACAGAGAAATCCTGTCTCGAAAAACCAAAAAATAAAAAATAAAAAGAAATAAATAATAAATGTATTAACTTTAATCTCTTTTCTGGTGAGCAAAAACATACATCTAGGCATACTTACTAGATTTATATTCATTTGGCTGTTTGCTTGTTTTTCATTTCCAGGTTAAATTTAGAATTCTTTTAAAATTCTGAAACAGATGTGTTAGTGAGCATCTTAACTTTTTACAAAGATTAAACCCAGATACTCAATACAGAAACAAAGTTTGTGTTGCTTAGGAAGACTTGTTTGTCCTAGATTTAATTTGGAAGTTTCATTTCTAAGGTGTCATAATTGAAGCAAGGGATGTAGCTATGTGCTGCTGGGTGCACATGTTTTGTACAAAGCCCAACAGTGCCCGAAAGAAAAAGACTTTAGATTGTGAATTCATTTTTACTGTGTTACAGATAAGCCACAACCTTGAGGCTAAATGCCAAAATGTGTCTCACGTGTTGCATTCCGCACACTCAGGGTGCTTGTTAGTAGAACTGGTGGGGGTTTGGTGTTCCTGTGTAGAGTTGCTAGTGATGCGATCCTGTATTTCTTTATACATAGTTCATATTTAGCACTAGGAATAGTGTTTACAGTGTGTCTCTTGCATTTTATTCTACTGATTATCCCCTTGAGTTAAATGTAGATTGGCACTCTGATATTTGTATTTTGTCTTTTTTCCCAGGCCGATATAGGGCTTCCATACCCACAGAGAGTTGTTCAGTTGCCTGAGATTGTGTGGGACCAGTATACCAACAGCCTTGGGAACTTCGAAAGAGAATTTAAAAATCGCAAAAGACATTCTAGAAGAGTTAAGTTAGTTTTCGATAAAGGTAAGAACTCACACGGTGAGAATTTCATGAGGAAGATGTCTTGCAGTGTCTTGCTTGAATAATTCTGTATGTGATTTTATTTTTAGTAGGCTTGCCTGCTAGACCAAAAAGTCCTTTAGATCTTAAGAAGGATGGAGAGCCCCTCTCTTACTCCGTGTTGCCTTTGAGTGACGGTCCAGAAGGCTCCCATAGTCGCCCTCAGGTGAGTGGTATGAAATGCGTGAAAGCATGAAAGTATTTAACGTTCTGTTGAATTGTGTTCTTAAAATGGAGAGCTGTTCACTGAAAAATAATGGGAACGTAAACTTTCCAGTTAACCAGAAACCTAAATCTGCGTCCAAACTGCTAGCTCTGACACCTCAGTTGTTGTGTATGTTCTGGTCTTCAAGTTGCAGCCTCTTATAAAATGTAATTGGTATTGGTTATATTGTAGAGTCTTTATGGGTTTTAAATGGGCATTGTGGGTACCTTGCCCAGTACCAGTGGCACTGTGGAGTGTGACCAGGATTTGAGGTATGGCTTTGTCTCTGTAGGAATTGTTACTTTTCAGTTTTGAACCCACACTTCTTGTTGTTTATTTGAGGATTGTGAAGAGTTTAAAACCAAATGAAATATAAGAATATAAAAAAAATTAATCAGTAAATAGGTGGTATATGTGTTAAAAATACGCAAAGATATTTTGGAAATTGTGAAACATTCCTTGTGTGTTCTTTAGCTATATCCTTGCTGTTTTCCATTTATAAAAGCCTTCTTTTATATGCAGATGATAAGAGGTCGCCTGTGTGATGACACCAAACCTGAAACATTCAACCAGCTGTGGACTGTTGAAGAACAGGTAAATACATACGTCTAGCTTGTTTGGGTTTAATGACAATCTGAACTGTTAATAGTAAAATTAGCACTGCCAGGCAAGTGTTTACTGTTGCATTGTAATTCCTTTTAATCATGAGTTTAAAATGTGTAGAGTTACTTTTCTATCCCTTTTGCATAGTTTGAGAGTTTTGGATTTTGAAGATGCATGAACTATTTTTAGGATTAATTCTTAGAGAGAAACCCTGGGTTTGGGAAAACCCTCAGGACATGCAGAGCCCCTTCAAGTTGCATTTTAATTTCTGTTGTCTCAGATTGCCTGTGCTAAGGGCTGGTGTTGCCCAGCTGTAGTGAAGTGTGACCTTGATGTTGTGTATTTAGTTAGGTTGTGTATGGAGTGTTAGAAGCTGAGTACCAGGATCCAGTCAGATGCTTGGCTGACAGATGACACAAGAGGGAACACTCTGACATGGCTCCTCTGTGCATTCTGGCCCAAAGACAGTTGGGGAGCCTCGTTCACTCAGATGTGTGCAGCCCGACGTGACGTGTTGTTTCTCTTCTGCTCTCTTGTGCTATAGTCACTAAATAAAGTGAATACAGATCCTCCACGGGGCTTTACTAGGTGTCGTCGTGGATCTCATCTTGCCTGTGGCATCTTATGTCCCTGACTGGAACTCTTTTCTACTTTGAGAATCTAATGATGGGACCTCCAGAGCTGGGAAAGCAGCACTGTACTTTGAATAAAATGTGAATGTGTCTTTTTAGAAGTCCAGTGTTTTAAATGGAAAAATACATTTTTTCACTTAAAACTTGGTCTTGGGTTTGATGCAGAAAAAACTTGAAGAGCTCCTCCTGAAATACCCTCCTGAGGAAGTAGAGTCTCGGCGGTGGCAGAAGATTGCAGATGAGCTGGGCAACCGGACAGCCAAACAGGTGATGGGAAGGCTGTGGGCTGTGCGTGCAGACCTGGCAGACAGTTCTGCAGCCATGCTGGCACAGCTGCTGCCCTTGCTAGCTCTAGTGTGTGATGGTTTTAAATGATTAGCATTGCTTGTTTCTATGTTGATTGCAGAAACAACATAAGTAAACCTGTTCTGCATCAATGCAAAACATTAAAAAAAAATATATATATATACAGTGGACCTTGTATCTCTTGAGTGTAAGCCTAGTGAGTGTGCTGCGGTGTCATTTTGATTAGACTGTGCTGGTGGGTTTTGTGCATGGCATTAATGTAATCCTGGTTGTCTTCTGAACATGGACACGGCAGCTTCCTTCCTCGCGCTCATCTGCATTACTGGTGATGGCTTCCTGCTGTACTCACCCATGTTCACCAGTGACAGTAAGGGTTTAGCTTCGAAATCACACAAACTTAAATTTACTTGAAATGACTCTGTCAAGATTTTAAAATACAGATGTCTTTGATGATCACTTAAAGGTTATTTCTCGATTTAGTCATCACCATTTAAAACTTTGCTGATATATCATTTCGTTGTATTTAAGAACTGTTGTTTCCTTAGGTGGCCAGCCGTGTACAGAAGTACTTCATAAAGCTAACTAAAGCTGGCATTCCAGTTCCAGGCCGAACACCTAACTTATATATGTACTCTAAAAAGGTAAGGAGGGACTGTTGTGGAGGTGTGAGTTTGCTAGGCTGCGCTCCTCTTCTTTTTGACATTCCACTACCTTGGGTATAAAGGCAGAATAAGATTCCCTTTGTTGCTACCTAGAAAAATATGCTAAGTTTTAACAGTTCTTCATTATTTTCCTGTAAGTAATATGAATGAGTACTACTTAAAGGGTTTTTGTACCAATTCTTTGGGAATGTCTTTGTGATGTTAAATTTTGTAAGGTATGGACTGTGAAATGTAGGCTTGCTCTCTTCCTGCTCTCCTGCATAGACTGGAAATGTTCCTGAAACCCTTAGCCAGCCCTCACTGTGGTTCTAGAGTTGTAAGTAGTGTTCGCCCTTCCACTTTATGGTGGCACAGTAGACCAGAATAACATATAAACACCATCTTGCCACAAACTAGTTAAGCGGAGAACCATTGTTTTTGAGACAATCTCCCTAGGTAGTCCTAGCTGACCTAGAACTTGCTGTGTACATCAAGGCTTGTGTTGGTCCTCACACCTCTGCTGGGATTGCAGATGAATGCTGCTGTGTCGCTTTCATGTTAGTCCCAAGCGGCCTTTTTGCCCCCTCACCCTGCTTCAGGGTACTAGGCACTAACCTAGGTCCTCAGCATGCAAGGCAGGGAGTGTGCCATGGAGTTACGCCATCAGTCCTCTCTATTGCAGTCCCATTGCTTCCCCGCTGCCCTCTAGTCAGAGAAGCTCTCTGGGATGCACAGAGCACTGCATTAGCAGTGTGCAGCCAACTAGGAGAGATAGAGGCTGCTTCTGTTGGCTTGGCAACTCCTTATGATCTCGTCCTTCTGCCACGCCCCCTCTTCACATAAAGGAAGCTGCTATGACCTTCCTGGTGGGTGCTGGTTTATATGATTTCATGTTACAATAAGGAGATTGTTTATATAGTTGACATCTTTGAGTTCTTAGAGATTCATTTTACTTTTTAAATTACATGTCTATGAATGGGTGTGTATATGAATACTGGTACCCACAGAGGCCAGAGCATTGATTTCCCCCAGAGCTGGCGTGTTAGGAGGTTGTGAGCAACCTTCAGGGGTTCTGGGAATCAAACTCTAATGTTCTGCAAGGACAGTAAGTACCCTAACACCTGAACCATCTCTCCAGCTCCATGGGTTTTTGGAATTATGTTTAATCAAGCGTTTCAAGATCATTTTAGTTTGTTAATTGTTTTAAGTACTTGGAATGCTGGAGCCTGGCATACCCCTCCCCTCCTGTGGTTCAAACCCAAGACTTTATTTATGCTAGGCAAATGCTCAGCCATTGAGGAATATCCCCAAACCCTTAGTTAATTTTTCTAAATTAATTTTATTAAATGTTTCTTTATACCTTGTGTTTTTACAAACAAGAGTGAGTAATATCAGAAAGGAACACTGGCAAAGCCTGAAAGAGTGAATAATATCAGAAAGGAACACTGGCAAAGCCTGAATCTGTTCATTCTGTAGAGTAGTCTCTTGGAAGGTCATTGACATCATGGCTGTGGAGTAGTGGTGCAGCCATCGTCATAATGTTCCTGACCATGGCGACCGCTTGGACTTTGCATGGGTGGAATGGAGGGACTCCAGTGGTTCCTCTTTATGACGGTGGTATAGACTGGTCTGCATAGTGGTTGGTAGCGAAGGCTGTGCCGCCACACAGATCTCCTCCCAGTTCTGCCCTAGCCTGAAACCCACCTCATGCGGGGGTCTCTGCATCTCTGAATAGCTACTGTGTAGGCGTGTGGTGAGGCTAAGTGAGACTGTTAGAAAGCAAGCAGTGACTTGCTGTTAGGTGATTGTTTTGGACACTCAAATGTTATGGCATAAAAAACCTTCTCTTTTTTACTGGGCAGTTATTTATCTGACTTAGGCCATTTTATTCTCTGATTTTCAGTGGAAGTTGATCATGAGAGTTGAGTGCAGCCAGTATTGAGTTCCTGTAACTGGTGGGTGGGTGTGCACGTTTTTGTCCTTTTGATTCTGTTCATGGTTTCCCACTGTTCCAATAAGACATCTTTTTTCTCACGCAGTCTTCAGCAAGCAGACGGCAGCACCCTCTCAATAAGCACCTCTTCAAACCCTCCACTTTCATGACTTCCCATGAGCCGCCAGTGTATATGGATGAAGACGATGACCGCTCCTGTTTTCATGGCCACACAAGCCCTGCTGTGGAGGAGGCGTCGGTAAGTTGCTGCCTGTTTTTATAGGGAACACGCGTTTTTGATTATTCCTTCTCTTCAGGGAATGTACCCTGATGTACCCCCTTTTAACCAACAAGTCAGATTTAAAGTTCTATGCATTGTTTTCCGTGAAGAAAATTCAGTATATAGCTAAGTAGTGAGAACAGCACACTGGACCCATATCCCGCCCCTCAGCTTCAATAATTGTCACCTGGCAGTTAGTCTGCTTGCCTGTCTTCCTCCTCAGTCTCACTTCAGATGGTTTTGGAAGGAGATAGTTCCAGACAGCAAGCTCAGCTTTCTGAGGAGTGACTCTTCATGTAATGGAGTGTCTGGTTACCTTGGTCATGCCACCAAGTGTGTGCACACACGTGCTCAGGGCGCTGTGCACATCAGGCAAGCACTGTACCCCTGAGCTGGACTCACTAATTTGGGGTGCTTTTTACTTTGTTTGGAGCCAAAGAGTGGCGATAAATTGGGGGTAGGGATGAAAAACCCTCCTTTGACTTTCCTCAGCCTTAACTGCTTGCACTGAAACCTGGTTTGTTTGTCCATGGATTTGCTGCCGTGGTGTGGATTGTATCAGCTGTATCCATTTGTGCCATCTCATTTTTTCTTTGTCCTGAATTTCCTGTGAAATGACTGATTCCTTGCTTGAAGAATGTATCCTGACACTCTGATTGCATAGAATCAGAACAGGAGATTTTAATGGAGAGTTAGCCATACTCTCCATTTTGTCTCTTAAGTAACCAATAGTGGTTGTATTGTGGAGTTGTGTTTCCCTTTAAACTTGTCCTCTAGAAATGCTCATGCTGGGTCTTGAGACAGGGCTTTTATCTGCGAGTTTGTTCATTTGATTGTTGGAATGATTTGTTTGAGGAATTATTTACCCAAACATGTTATGTAACAGGCTGTGCTCGGAGCTGTGAACATACGTATGTCTTTGTTCTCCTATATCTTGGACGGGTCAGCTTCAGGGTTGGAGGAATTGTTACTGTATTTGACTCCTTATGCTTCAGAGTTTCATGAGACCCTTGAAGTATTTATGTAGTTCACACTGTTTTCTAAATAACCCATGTAATTCCCTTCATCCCCTTGAGTGAAAACTGTACTGTTTTGGCCAGTCATTACAAATACAGAGTGTTAAAGAAGGGCAGAGATTGCTTTGCTTATTAAAAAAAAAAAAAAAAAAAGATAACATGTTTACAGAGGTGAGCGTGAAAAGTGTTAGACCAGAAAAAAAGAAATGACTCCGGAACAGGGCGGGGCACACATGAGGCTTCTGAAGTCATTCTGGTGACATTAGAAGTTGAGTGACCACATGTCCTCACGTTGTGAGGCAGTGTAGGTCATCCTTAGAGCAGCATTTAAAGTCCCAGAACACTGGAGACATGGGCATTGTGTTGGTCATGGGCATGCACGAGCATGAAGACCGACCGGGATTCGGATCCCTACAGCTCAGTGCTGGGGAAGCAGAGACGGTGGCAGGGACTGTGGGGCCACTGGCCAGCCAGTCTAGTGGAATCGGGGAGTGCACACTCAACAAAAAATAGTAGCATTAATTTCTGAGTGTTAAAAGTGAGAAATATCAGTAGAAAAATAATTAGGATTGTATTTCTTATACTTTTATGTTTTGATCTTTTTAACAGGATGAGGAAAGCATTCCTGTCATGTATAGGAGTTTACCTGAATATAAAGAACTATTACAGTTTAAAAAGTTAAAGAAGCAGAAACTTCAGCAAATGCAAGCAGAAAGTGGGTTTGTGCAACATGTGGGCTTTAAGGTAAGCAACTCGATCCTCTAATATTTAAAAAGCTAGAAAGGGATAACTAGAGTATTTGACTGTGAAGTCAGTAAGCTTTCAGGGAGAAGGTAGTAAGTTTCTCTGTAATTCTTTTATGCATACATGCAAAGTTGTGTCCACATGTGGGTGCCACACAATCTCAGTTCTGTGTGGAGAAGAGAGCGTGCAGTTGTCTGTCCTGTGCGGTATGCTGGGATGAAGTTCATCTGCTGCTTCCCTAGTCCCAGCTGTCCGTGAACACATTTCCCCAGTTCACCTTGGGTTGCCTCACTGAGTTTCAGGAGGCTGATGGAGGGTGCACTCATAGTACCCAGGCCAGAGAGTCTCCTAAGGGCTGGACGCAGACTCAGGTCCTCCTGGCACAGTTTTCATCCCTGCAGTCAGATGGATCTCTGTGAGTTTGAGGCCACTGAGGGCCATGTAGTGAGACTCTGTCTTAAAAATTAAGTGAAACCCTAGAAATGTAGGGCTTCAAAATAGCTGAGTAATAACCGAGCACACCTAGAGAGTGCGTAAAGTTCTCAGAGGCTGTGTGAAGGGAGCTGGAGATTCTGCCAAGGAGTTTAAACAATGCAGAACTTTAGAACAGCAAATAACACGAAATTTGCATTTCAAGAAAATGGGTTCTGCCAGCTTTAAGAAAGCACCAAGTTTAGACTTCACAGTTCTTAATCATTCACTATTACTAAGTATTCTAAAGTAGTTTACTCATGTGCTATAATGAAATATATAAATATGTAAGTGAGGTGGGGCTAGAGATCCTTCTAGCGTGAGGGCTAGATTAAAAGAAGGTAAGACCAGAGACAGGCGGCATCTCGGAGCCTGAGGATTATAAAAGAAAGTGTGTCCTGCCTGAATTGTCCGGCTCTGTGGAGATAGAGTAGCCATTGGAAGTGACTGCATGGAATGGGGTTGGAGAGAGTTCAGCAGAGCCGTGATGTGGCGTTGCTGTTGCCGTTGCCGTGTGCACATGTACATAGAGTTGGTGCCTGCTGTGAGTGACTTCTGGGCCTGTGGAGTAGCCTTCCCTCAGGACATTCCAGTGTCCTTACTCACCCCTAACAGATCTTCCTAACTGGCTTCTAGACTTTTTGAGAAGAAACTGGGTCTTCTCATAGTTGAGGTGTAGACCTTAGCCATGGCGTGTTGGGCAGGGTGTCATCAGAGAATGTAGAAACGAGATTTCCTCGGTGTCTTAGTTCTGTTGCTGTGAAGAGACACCATGGCCAAGGAAGCTCTCACAAAGGAAAGCACTTAGTTGGGGCCTTGCTTAGAGTTTGAGAGGGTGAGTCCCTGACTGTCGTGGTGAGAAGCAAGCAGACCGTGTGGCATTGCGACAGAGCAGTGACTGAGAGCTTTATATCCTGATCCGTAGGCAGTGGGCAGAAAAGAGACAAGGGCAGACTTGGATTTTGAAACTCAAAGCCCCCCTCCTAACCCTTCCCAAACAGTTCTACCAGCTGGGGACCAAGCACTCAAATGTATGAGCAGTGGGGTCATTCTCATCCAAACCAGTGAACTTTGGTTCCCAGAGTTCCACACTGAAAGACAAGCTGGACCTGCCTTCTTGTCGTCATAGGCTTTGCTCTCAGGGCTCAGCCTGGTGACCATCAAGAGAGGAGTTTGATGGTGTCTTCCTGCTGCCTGCCAGTACATGCCTGGGCAGCTCTAGGTCCAGTGTGAGTAAGTCAAGTGTTCACAGTCACACACTGGTTCCCAGTGAATGGTGGGCACGGTGCCCAAGTTTGAGGTGACTGACTTAAGAACCTCTTGGGTAAATACAAAGATTGTTTGTCACCCACCAGTGGTCTGGTCTTGCATCATAAACTTTTATCTGCTTCACTGGGAACTGTGTCTAAATTAAGCCAGTGTGTTAGGTATTTCTACAGCTTGGGGAAAGGGTCTGTCAGTGCCATAACCATGTGCTTCCTACTAGAAAAGAAACATAGCCAATGCTCTGCCTTTCTGTGTCTGTTGCAGTGTGATAACTGTGGTGTAGAACCTATCCAGGGTGTTCGGTGGCACTGCCAGGACTGTCCTCCAGAAATGTCTTTGGATTTCTGTGACTCTTGTTCAGACTGGTAAGTGTTTTCTTTATTTTGGGGACAGGAACCTCAAGCAGTGAACTTTATTTCCAACTTCTTTAAAGTATAACTATACTGTTATTAATTAAATTTAATTAAGCAATTAAAATTTTCTTTAAATCAATCTGATCTCGTTGAGCAGCCATCCATTAAGCTTTCCTAGGGATCAATTTAGCAAAGAGGATTTTATAGTAGGTAGATCAAAATGTACCTGGAGTTTTGTAGTGATGAGTCTGTGTGTGTGTTCTCTCCTTGCAGCCCACATGAAACAGATATTCACAAGGAAGATCACCAGTTAGAACCTGTTTATAAGTCTGAGACGTTCTTAGACAGAGACTACTGTGTGTCCCAGGGCACTAGTTATAGTTACCTTGACCCCAACTACTTCCCAGCCAACAGATGACATGGAAGAGAGTGCCGGCACTAGTTCTCGTCAGCACACAGCACTGGCATCATTGTTGGTGCTGTGTGCGGTTCGGACACTCGGGCATGAGAGCTCCCGAGTGTTCTCGTCAAGTGCAGCTCCACACCGAGTGGCTGTGGATGAGCAGCTGAACATTCCTGGTGAGCTGAGAGTTTCCCTGGTGAAATTGTCACCACCACAGAGAGCCTTGTAGGTGGTGATCGTGATGGGTGAGGTGGAAGCGAGAGCTTGAGTTAATGCCAGAGTAAATTCCAAAGGTTTCAGAGACCTCAGTCATAACTATGATGATGGAAAGACAAAGTATTTATATTAAATCAGTTCAGTAGCTTTCAGTTTTGTGAAAATAGTATTCAGAGCAGAAACTGACATATAGACGAAGTTTTAACCAATGATGGTGTTTGCTTCTAGGATGTGTACTCTAAAAGAACTCACTGTCCGGTGGTCACTGATGGCCTTTAGTAGACTGGAGCTGCTTAATGGTGTGGTCCTAACTTGTAATCACGATGAACTGTCCTTCCCCAGGGCACAGCGCGAGATAGCTGTGCTTGGTTTCCGTAACCAGCTCATGGGGTGTGAATGGCATAAAGTTGTCACGCAGGTATATTTTTTAAATGTCATGTTGTATAAGATGATCATGTGACGTGTACAGACTGTGGTGAAAAGTGCCAGTGGTAGTAACTGTAAAGTCTGGTTCACAACATTAACCCTTTAAAGGACACAGCCTCTGCCTCTGTCAAAGAAAACTGCCTAATATAAAAATCATATATATGGTGATAATTTTCCCCTCTTTTGTAGTCTGCACAAGATCCATAAAAGATTGTATTTTTATTACTATTTAATGAGTGATTAAATGTAGTCTGCACAGTGAGCAAGAGTTCACAAGCATTCTTTTATACTGCTGGATTTTGTTGTGCATCATTTAAAACATTTTGTATGTTTCTTATCTGTGTATACAGTACGTTGTTGAATAATGTTCATTTGTCGGGAGAACTGTGAGGAATAAAGTATGTGGCTATGTTTGTTTATATTATAGAACGCTTGTTGTGGCTTCCTTCTCAACAAGGGTTAAAACTAGAGCTCATCACTTAAATGTTTCATCTGTATTTGCTCTCTGTTCTTTATAAAGAAAGGGTGAGGAGTGTGTTATGGAAGAGAGTGTGCGCTTGAACCTGCTAGAGGTGTCAGAGTTCTTGTCCAGCGTGCTAAAACATTCACCGTAGGGTACTCACTCATGTCCAGATGGGGGGCTTAAGTATAGGTCAAAAAGTTAATCAGGTCATTTTATCCTGACAGAATCAAGTCCCCATGTGTAGAAACAGGTGATTTCCAAAAATTATCAACTAGGAAGAGAGAGTATGTTCTATGGTGGGTTAAGCATTACACCAGTCTTGTTTTTAACATTATTTGTGTTTCCTGTTTTTAAGTTCAGGGGACATTATTTACTAATTCTTTTCAACACTTAGCAAGGTAAAATCTACCCTGAATTTTTTAATTAATAAAATACAGAATTTTAACTATGGAAATGAGAAGTTTAAATAATATATTGATTATGTATCACTGGTCATATTGATGCAGTCTATTGTACTCAGAAAGAAAAGTAGTCAGGCTTTTATCTCTGGGTCATTAGTGAAGGAGAGACAGTTACACTAGGGATCTCTGTGCTAAATGCTCAGTGCACATGCCAGACGGCAGCCTCTGTCTGTAATATGCAGGACACTTGGGCTGTCTGTAGAAATAGTGGTGCCACATCGTTTTCTTGAAGAGCACTTCATATCCATCCCAAAGCCCCATAAAGCTTGAAGGACACTTTGGAAGGGATATGAGTGATACGGCTGTAATAAGATCAGCAGAGCAGGCAAACCCACCCGGATGCATCTTCCAAAGGCCAAGGCTTTAAGACTGAGGTAGGGTGCGGGTTTCTCCTGTTTGGACAGAAGATGTATTTACTTTGGATTTCTTAGCTCTAAGCACATCACCCCTACTATATCTTGGTGGGAACGTTTTCTTGTGTTTCTGTTGAGGGTTGCAGAAGTGCGCAGTGCTCTTCCGTCTGTCTGCAGGGAAATCTGGCTGCTGACCATTGCTTGAGAAGCAGTGTTGTCAGGTGTCTTAGTAGGCCAGGTTTACTTGGTGGCATATGATGCTTACGGTGTTTGCTACTAATAACACACCAAAAGCCATCGCTCTGACGTTAGGGGGTGGCACCAATAGCAGATGCTGATACAGCACTTACTGTACACAAAGCAAGCCTGGGGCACTCATTGGGTTCTCGGCCCAGTGAGTTAGGTTCACTTATTACTCCGTTTTCATGGGAGATCTCACCCAGGGTCCTATTGTTAGTGAAGTGATGAGACTTGTCTAAGATTTATCGCTGTGTTTCCCAAGCAGAAACAGCCCCACCATCAGCGTGTTCTCCATGCCCTTTTCCTTGTGTATTACTAGAGTACAAACCTGGGCCCATGAGAGAGAGGCCTGTGTGTGGCCGGAGAAGTCCCAGAGTCCCCCACCATTGTGACTGACTCACAGGACCACACCCCATACTATCCCTTGAGTCTTCTCTCCCTCCTTTCACTTACATTAGTCACAGAACACCGTTTACTGAGGTATGAGGAACAATTTTCAAAGGCTGACAGAAAATGGGGTACCTCTGTAATAGAGAAGTCTTGTTTTGTGCAGTTTCCCTTACAGCCACGTTAGATATGTTGAATAAACTTACTGTGGATAGCTAAGTGTAACGTCCATTGTTCTGGGTGCACTGGGGAAAACCAGCGTCTCTAGGCATTGTCCTTTTTTTTTTTTTTTTCTTTTTTGTTTTTTTGAGACAGGGTTTCTCTGGGTAGCTTTGGAGCCTATCCTGGCATTCGCTCTGGAGACCAAGCTGGCCTCCAACTCACAGAGATCCCCCTGCCTCTGCCTCCCGAGTGCTGAGATTAAAGGCATGCGCCACCAGCGTCCGGCTGGCATTGTCCTTCTTAAGCCTATAAAGTTTTGCTTTTCAGTGGAATGGTTAGCTACTGTTCTTATGATCCCAGAGGGAACCAAACCCCAGTGCTTTGCTTACAGGACTTACATATCTGTTAAATGGATTTTTTTCTGAGAGCTGTGCCCCACTGAGCTGCTTGAGAATACAGTCCATGTCTGTGTCTCTAAGCCCTGACATTTTAACAGACTCTCTACAAGGATTCGTTGGTTATGTAACCCAGTGTTTTGGTTAGTCACACTGTTTTTTTTTTTTTTTCTTTAGAAGGTAGTGGGGCCCAATCCATGAGGCGCCAGTAACTCTTCAAAGGTGTGTCTCAGGAGGTTCTTCGTTACACCCTAGAGGACAGAGACAGCCTTTGCATCCAACTTTACTTGAAGACTGGTTCAGCCAGTCAGATCATTCAGCATGGGTGTGACTCTGTCATGCTTGTAGTGACATTTTGGGTCTCAGTCACAGTTGGTAAGTGAAGTACCTTTGATTGAATCCTGGAAACTAGTCACTGACTTGTGCTAACTGCAAGTAATGGGAAAATGGAAGGCACTGAGAGTTAAAACACATTAGTCCTCAGTAGCAAGAGACGGTTGAGGGCTCCTGCGATAGAAAAGCCAGGCCTTTGTGAAGCTCATAGACACAGCACAGAAGACAGCGGTGTGCAAATAAACTTATATGCTCCCTAATTAGAAGCCAGCAACACAGGGCTGGGAAGAGCATTGCCAGTTAGGTCGAATGGGCTGAGAAACCCATTGGAGTTTGGGAGCTTGGAGTCCGGGAACTAGCTGTGTGGATAAGCTGTAGGAGCAGGCAAGAGAATACTGGTGTAAGGGCCCAGAGTCAGTGTAGAACTTGCTTTGCTCAGCTATCTTTGGAGACAGGCAGTGTAGCTTGAGCCAGATGTGAGAGGGGGAGGGTCCAGTTGGTGGCGTCAGGGAGAGCACAGGTGTGGCCTTGAACATAGGTTAGAGCCAGCGAGTTTACATTTGTGTTCTGAGGTTGTCCACATACATGCACAGCCTTTTGCTAGGCTGAAACGGCTAAGGTCCTTTCATGTTTTAAAATCCGATGACTTTGGCGTAGTGATGCCGCTTAGAGCCATTCACAGAGCAATGTGAGTCTCGGCTACTCTTTGGAAAACTGATCTGCATCCCCAGTACTAAGTCCTGTTGAGGTTTTCCAAAGTAGCTGCCACCTACCTGCCCTGAGGAGCCCCAGGCTCGCTGGCTTGCAGGTCTGCTGCCTCAGGTCTGCTGCCTCGTTTCCTCATCCACAGCTGTGGGCCAGTGTTTGCCTGATTGTGTTTTGTGTCTGGAGACTGTTAACCCCTAGGTGACTTGTTTATGTTTTATCCTGAAGCAGCGCTTTTCACCTTTGCTCGAATACTCATGTGACAGCTTGGGGTGGTATAAGCATTCAACAGCTCTGTGAATTTGGGAACTCGTTGCACCCCTTCTGGTAACAGAGACCTAATTGTAACCAAAGAAACTTAATTTCTTGTCTAGCACACACTGACATTTCTGTTTAGGAAACAGTGCTAGGGAAAATGAAATGTGAAAATGACAGTGTATCATTGAATACATGAACAATTTCTCTGTAATAGCTCAGATCTGGTCTGTGGCCAAAGTTCAAACCATACAAGTGGATCAGAATTTTAAACTCTTTTACTGTGTTTGCTTCTGTTTGGAATGAAAGCTTCCAAAGGCTTTCCAGAACGATGTGAGTTACAAATAAATAGAGAAAGAGTTATCCTGGCTTCCATTTATTTCATTTGTACATAACTGTTTGGGGGGGATGATTTTAAAAATACGGTTCTGTCCTGGAAACCATTCTGTATTTGCACACTCAACTGAGGAAAATAATCATGCAAACCGAACTGCTTGTTGTATAGTGGTTGAGTGTAAGATGCAGGTATTTCAGAAGACAGAGTGGCTCCAGCTCAACAACTCAGTACAAAAGATGCACACTTCACAGGTGTGATGCACGTGTTTACCCATGGAGCAGGCCCATGAAACAGATACAACCCAGGAGCCGCAGAACACCCATGCCCCCAGCCCGGCCCCAGCACTGGGAGTAGACACTTCAGGTCAGAACAAGATGGTTCTGTCAGTGAAGTAACAACTGTCTCTCTGCTTTTAAGTTACTTCCAGTCTCTGGCACTAATCTGTGGAATTGCTGGGACATAACCACCACGTGGAGGGTGGCTCATGCAGCTGCTCAGGCGTGTTAGCCTTTATGACACTATTCGATGTTGCTAGTCCCACAAATGGATAGTCCTGATTGCCGTTTTGCTGTCTTAGAGAAGCTGGACAGCATCTCTGGGCATCTAAAAGTCCCCACAGAGCCAGTACAGGGTGACATGTCCAAGCTCGTCCCCATGCCAAGGACCCACATCAGGGAGGAAGCTGTGCTGGAGAGTTAGGGTTCTGTTCTCTCTGTATGATGCATCAGACTCCAGGTGGGCCTGGGCACAGCTAGCAGACACATCCCACACTGCTCTTCCCGTGCCGCTGCTCTGGGGTACAGCCTGGTGACAGAAAAACAAGTGTACCAAAGGGGAGAGCTGTCTACAGGAGGACACAGTGGACAGTCCCACAGACACCATGCGTGGTTTCCAGATGACATTCGCGAGGGCTGAGCTGGGAAGGAAACAGCCTGCTAGGCCTGGTGGCGACCAAGGGAAATGTGTGCAAGGGGTGAATTTCATGTCTCTCTTTCTACTTTCCTGAACAGTTGTGCGCTTTCTCCTTCAGAAAACAGAGTCAATAGCTGTGCAGAGCTGAAGAAACACTTGATCTGGGGTTCCTTCTGCGTTTACCTGTGTTTGAGAGGAAGAGAGTTAGTTATTGACCCCCTGCCCTGCTTGGAAATGCCCATCTTTAAAATAATGAAACACAATTACCTGCTTTTGCTCAGCAAACTTAAAACGTGCTCTCCCTCCAAACCCACAGAGACTAGAGTGGAAAATGATTGCTTCAAAAGCAAGTGCCTTTGTGGTGGCTCACACATTAGTGGCAGCACTCAAGGCACAGAGGAGTGCAGATCTCTGAGTTCAAGACCAGCCTGGTCCACATATCAAGCTCCAGGCCTGCCAAGGCTGTGTAGTGAGACCCTATCTCTAAAACCAGTAGTTATATTCCTAGATTAAAATGAGAGAGCAGCACTATGCATTTATTAGAATGTCCCAAACCCCAAGGCTGATGCCACCAAATGCTGCCTAGGATGTGAAACAACTGTAGCAGCCTTATTCCACACTGAACCCCAACACCCCAAGCCTGCGTGTGCTTGCTTACATCTTCATGATTGGTAACCCGAAGGTTACCAAGATGTGTTAGTATTTACAGTCAGTGACCTCCAGACAATGGAGGACACTCAGCACTAAAATGAAATAATGAAGACATGAGATTTACCTGCATGTTAGTACGTGACAGAAGCCAGTCTGGAAGGGACACATACTGTATAGTGCTGCCATGACAAGGAAAAGAGCAGTTCCAGCATATGGGAGAAGAGTAAGTAGGAATCTGAGTGCCGTCGCTTCATGTTACAAAGTGGGCCAAACACACTAAGCTATTGATGGCAAACATTGCCTTTGGGTGACAAGTATAGGTTCATCAGTTGTGTGGCAAATGGATGACTGTTGAGTGATGTTGATCTGGGAACTCTTCAACTGATCTACGAACCTACAAGTGTTCTAAAGCTCAAAGTCCATCTAAGCAGCAAGCCAAGGGCCGTGCTCCAAGTATTGTTAGGAATCAGTGGACCCTTTGGTGTTCCATGAGAGTCCTGAACGCACTGAGTTACTTAGATCACAGTGGGGCAGAAGCAGGGATGTGGATAAGGAAGCAAGCCTCGGCCCCCAATGTTCAGATGGACTAGGGGCAGAGTTGTTGAAGATAGATGATAGATAGAGGAAGCCAGCAACAGATGGGAGTCAGCGGTTTCCTGGACATCAATCAGCCGCTGGGGATTGTTCACACACAGCTCCTCTTAAGGAGGCAGAGGTCTGACCCCTAGAAGCTCTGAGGAGGCCAGAGGGATGCTGATGGCATGCCTTAGACAGATAGCCCTGCTTACTTAAGTAAAGGTTGATGGGGCGTTAGCACTTGAAGAGGGACTGAACTGCCCAGCTGCCATCCTTGATGGAACTATGCACAGGTCAGTGAGCAGATGGTAACTGAAGCCATAGCCACCAATGGTGTCCTCATATTGGGCTGTGGCGCTCTAAGGAAGGGAAAGTTTCCAAAGGCTACTGTGGCCAAATTTTTTTAAATTAACTTTAAAAAGGCGAAGTTGTCCAGAAGAGTTGGTTGTCCTGAAGGCTTAAAGCCTTGTGGCTGCGTAGAGGTTCATTCAAATGCTAACCAATGGAAAAGTAATATTAGAAGAAGGCAGAGTCCTGGTGATGATGGGTCCCTGCCGGAGACTAGGCTGAAAGTCTAAGAACCTGCTGAAGCACAGGGTCCTGGGAATAGCTCAAGCCCTGTGCAGTAAAGCAGCTGCCAACTCCTTGCCAGAGGGACTGCACAATCGACACATTTTTAAGATGGCTTCACCATATGCTAATTGTACTAAATAATGGGTTTCACCATGATGTCTTCATAATTGCACATGGCATACCTCAATCATGGATAGCTCTCTGTTCTTTCATCCTGTCTCCCACTGGCCCCTCTGTCTTCCAAACAATACCCCCCCCTTTTTAATGTCTTATTTTTTAGAATCTTGATTCTGCATACCAGAGAAAACATGCAACATTTGCTTTTTCTGAGTATTAACCTGCTCTCCACATCTTTCACTTCGCTGTATACAAGCAATGTTTTTCTTTTGAGGCTTGAATAAACTACATTTTTACCCGTCCTTTGTCGGGCTTCTGAGTTGACCCCACACTTGAACATCGGGCTAGTACTGCAGGAAACATGGATGGATGCGCAGGTGACACTTTTCTTGAGGGCTGTTTGAGGTAACTTTGAGAAACAATGTTTCCTTTTAACTCTTGTTACTTACCTACAGTAGGTTTAATTTTGCAACCAGCAATCAATTTTTACATGTTTAAACACTCCCAAGAAATATATCTAGCAATATTTTTATTTATTAAATTTCATTTCCCCTTTGCATTTTTTTGAGAGGAAGTCTCAAGTATTCCAGACTGGCCTCAAACGATTATGTAACAGGATCCTGCCTCCACCCACCTTCCCAAGTGCTGGAATAGCAGAGATCCATATTAAGTTTACACAGTGCTGGGGATTTTGGTCATCTATACATGACCAGAAATAAAGCTAGCTGTATCGGCCTATACTTAGATGATCAGAACATAAAGATAGATAACTCGTGAGAGCCAGGGATTACTGTTGATCCTCGTGGAAAAGAATGTGACCTAAGGAGACAGTGGGGTGTGGGGGCGGGGCTTCTGAGAGCGTTTCCTGGCCTGTTTGGTGGGCCATACTCCTCAAAGTGCACATATTTTAAAGGTCCTGTTAGGATCCTCGATTGAAGTACTCTGCCTCTGAGCCGGAGCCTCTTCCACCCCGTGCTTGGGTCCCTCACAGCGCCCAGCTCCCTCTGCCTCAGTGCCAGCATAGTCCACACTGAGGTACCAAGCTGCCGGGAGACTGCAGTGAAGATCTGCAAGAGCAAGAGGCTCCTTGACAGAGCAGCACAGCAGGAGTCCACACGACACGTTAGACACGCACAGGGGCTGTGGATTAGGGAGTCACACACAACCCGCACGTGTGACGCTTAAGTAATCAAGTAATAACCGGGGCCTGAAGGACAGGTGACACTGAAAGATGACTTATGTTGCCCAAGCTCACAAGGCCAAGGAAGTGACAGGGTTGGGGCAGACCACAGAACTAAAGTTTGATACTTGTCCCCTAGTTTAAAATGGCTGGATGGTGGGACATGCGTTAAGAAACCACGGTTGAAAGGGAAGTGGAGAGCGGGCTGCAAAGAAATGTGTGCACCCGCCCTGTGGAAACCAAGAGGCACACCGAGGTCCCCAAAGAACACGAAGCAGGCGGTAGAATCCCACAACAAACTGACAACAGCTGAAGTAAAGCTGAGTGCCCTGCACCAGCAGTGGTGGTGCCTAATATTGACGAGGCACCTGGGCTCCTGGACCTGTTTCTGATGTTACAGAAAAGGAACCAGAGCTGAGCGAACTGGACTGTTGTGCACATGCTCAAACCAGTCACGTCGGAGTTCACTTGGTTTGGTTTGGTTTTGAGACAGGGTCTCACTATGTCAGCTTAGGAGGCCTGAAACTCACTATGGAGACCAGACTGGCCTCCACCTCCCCGTGTGATGGGATGAAAAGAGTTTACCACCAGACAGCTGTCTTTAAAAAAATAAAAGGTGTGTCTGTGTGTGTGTGTCTGTGTGACTAAAAGGTAGCAAACACCAGCATGGGATACGTTTGCTAGCTAACCCACCTAATGGTTCCTGAGATAGATGAGCCAGGGTAGAAGCCATGTGTGGTATCTCGGCACTTGGGAGGTAGAGGCAGAAAGATCAGGAGTTCAAGGCCACTTTCCCACACATAGGAAATTTAAGGTCAGCCTGGATCCTGTCACAGACAAGGGCAAGCTGAGATGATGAGACAGCCCCTGGCAGGTGATGGGGTGAGGAGTTAGTTACTCATGGCAGGTAGGGATGAGGTTATGCTGATTTAGCAGTATTTGCTAAAACTGATTTGTACAGGGACCTCACAGATGGGCTGGGAAGGTTCTTCAGCTTGCCTATCGTTTGAGCAGGGAGTCTTCACCATTATGCGATCGGGCACTGGTTCCTCAGGACAGAGTCATTCCTCAGCATTGTATACCCAGCGTCTCGCAGGTAGGTAGACTCGGAACAGCTGGCTGAAAGACTGCCCTGAGTGGCATGTTCTCCCTTCCTCCCACGCAGGGGCTGGTGGAGGACAGCCTGTTTCTAGTGCGAGATCCTGGGCGTCATAGGGAGCTAAGGGATGCTCTCATGGAAACCAGGTGACACAGAAAGCCTTTGAGTGCCAGCTCTGAAGGGCAATGCTTGGGAGTTCCTGACCGATTAGACTCAAGCTGGTGTGTGTGTGTGTGTGTGTGTGTGTGTGTGTGTGTGTGTGGAGGGTCAGGGGGGAAGGCTAGCTGGTGCTGAACCTCGGAGGTTTCATAGGACCCTGCCCACAAAGTTTCTATGTAATACCGCCTTCATTTTGCAGCATGGTTTAAATACAAGGATTGGGATTTTTGTTGTTGTTGTTAAAGAAAACTGTTCGCTGGAGTCTCATGCTGTGGTGTTTGCTTCTGTGAAGTCCAAATGCCTGGAAGTTTAAAAACAAAATGAAACAGTTGGGCTTTCCCAGTAGAAAGTAGCTTTTTGCTAAGGTGTGAAACAAATGAGCAGTTGGCCATCCTCATTAGGCTAGAGAAGCAGTTGCAAGAGTAACATTCGTAAGCACACAGTCAGCCTCTTTTCTAATGGCAGGCAGGGGTGTCTGTGGTGTTTCTATATAGAGCTGCGCGGGAATGAGACAGAACCAAGTTACATGTGCAGAGCTAAGTTTTGTGGGGTGTTTTGTTTTGTTTTGAGACAAGGAGTCATGTAGCCCAAGTTGGTCTTGAACTTGCTATGACTCCCAGCCTGGCCTGGAACCACACCTCCTGAGTGCTGGGGCTACAGGTATGTATCACCATGCCCAGCCCACTTATTCTAAGGTCCAGTTTTGGTGCTTCCAGATTTAGCAAATCTAAAACAAGTGAGCTAAGAAGACGCCTGGGTTCCTTGTCCTCTGAGAACAGAAAAGGATTCATGGGGTGAGCAGAGTGAGAACAGGGCCCCCTTGGGGCGGACAGGAGAGAACCAGCCTCCACACACTGTCATGGTCCCCATCACCACAGGGCTTCACTTTCCCATCACAAGCAATTTCATGACTTAGTTCACTCCCAAGACTCCAGTGCTGAATCTGTGGTGAAACTGTGATGTCACGGAGCTTGTTGCAGAAAACCAGGGGAGCAGGTTCGCTTCTGATGAGGGATTTGCCTTCAAGGGTCTGAAACTTTAGGGATGACCTCATCAGTATAGAGAAGGTTGGATTTTGTTAGTTGTTTGTTTTTAACTGGAGCTGGCACTGGGAAGTGAGGAGGGTGACCCCGGTAGATGTGCTTCCCTCTGAGGATGTAGTGAAGCTGATGGCTTCCAGGGCTGCACCTGTCGTCTTCATGTCTTGGTGATGTGGGCTTCTGGAACCAACCCAACGTCAGTGCAGACTGGGGTTAGTGTCTGCTTAGCCCGGCTGTGACCACGCCTGCCGCCATGTCCGGGCCATGTGGTGACCATGTGCTGTTCTGTGACCACGTCTACCCATCACCACGTCCAGACTATGTCCAGACCATGTGTTCTGTGACCCTGCCCACCCACCGCCATGTCCAGGCCATGTCCTCTGCAGTCAATGCTCTAAAGAGTGTCCACCCTGGGCGGGTGGGGGACTCAGAAATGGGTTGTCTATATTTTCAATAATGATCTTGTATTCCTTTACACTAGTGGGGAAAGCTCTCCCCATGAGGAATCACAGAGCAACGGCCTGGAAGGGTTCCAGCGGCTGCTGTCAGATGACTCATCAAAGTTCCCATCTGGCCTGGGACTTTCCAAGAAGCGTCTGGACACCCAGGCCACTGTCCCAGCAGTCTTTGCTCAGTGTTGGCACTTTTCACCAATGCTTCATTCCCAGCTACTCATTTAGTAGCAAATGCACCCTCTGCTGGCTTGCTCTCCCTCCCTTGGGCTAGCTCTTCTATATGAGGGGCTGGTGGCACCTGCCTCAGAGTCCAGATGGAAGGGAGAAACCTACTGTGTGGCTCCCGCTTTGCATTTTAACACAGGAAGCAGAAGCCATGCATTATTTCTGTGTCACAAATGCATTTTAGGCTTGGAGTTGTTAAATCTGATTTGGCAGCAGCTGTGTGTGCAGTGTCCCGCTCTGTTCTCTGGTGTCCATTTTCAATGGACACCCACTAACTTCTCTGAGGGTCCAGCTGCCAGTATCCCCAGTAAGGGGAAGCCTGAGAGATGAGCCAGAGAGGCCTGAGAACCTGATTTCTTGGAGAGTAACACAGAATTGTAAGGTCTGCGAATGCAGGTTTCTCTGAGAACCCTATTAGTTTGGTGTCACTGAGCCGTTCTCCTTCGAGTCGTCAGGTTTACATTCAGATAATTCAAGAGAGAGAGGGAGGGGATTTTCTCATTCTGAAATGTGATACACTAAATTGCAATCCAGCTTTCCCCAGTCTCAGACTAAAGTGGGAAAGAACTTCCCTTCTACCTGGGCAATTCCTTGGCTGTTCCAGGCAGCACAACGTGGGGAAACTTCCCAGGTGATTTAGCCTTACAAAGAAGGTTCTTGCAGCCCTGAATTTCTTTAATTTTTTTTTTTCCGAGACAGGGTTTCTCTGTGGTTTTGGAGCCTACCCTGGAACTCGCTCTTGTAGACCAGGCTGGTCTCGAACTCACAGAGATCCGCCTGCCTCTGCCTCCTGAGTGCTGGGATTAAAGGCGTGCGCCACCAACACCCGGCTAATTTTTTATTTCTATGGTTGTATTGCCTGCATGTAAACTGTGCACCATGTGTGTGCAGTACCCTTGGAGGACAGAAGAGTGTGTCAGATTCCATGGGACTCTTTAAGAAATGGTTGTGAGTAACCATGTAGGTGCTAGAAATCGAACCCAGGTCTTCTGAAAGAGCATCGAGAGCCAAGTGCCAATCATGCCCTGTGTGAACTCCAGAATCCAAAGGACTCCTCTAGGATCTAGAGGAGTCCGGCGTATGGCCCATCCTATTTAGCTGAGGTCTATAGAGCGCCACCTACAGTTGGTGGTAGAACTCTCATTTCAGCTTGCCCCCTTCCTTTTTTTACTTTTCAGTATTGGAGATTGAACCCAGGCCTGTTGTTAGGTGAGCACTCCCCAGGCCTCATGCCTGTTAGGTGAGCACTCTCCAGGCCTCATGCCTGTTATGTGAGCACTCCCCAGGCCTCATGCCTGTTAGGTGAGCACTCTCCAGGCCTCATGCCTGTTAGGAGAGTGCTCCCCAGGCCTCATGCCTGTTAGGTGGGTGTTCCATTGAACTGTATCCCCAGCTCCTCAGGCCAGCTACCTTGAGATAGAGGCTCAATTACCTGCCCAAGTGGGTCTTGAACATGAACTCTTCCTGTCTCAGCCTCCCCGTGGCTGGGATTCCAGGCTTGTGCTTTAGGCTCTGCTGTCTTTTGGGAAAATAAGTTTCAGCGACTACAACGGCACCTGCTGCTAACTGATGACCGACTTCTGTGGCCACCTGACAACAGATATTCAGCTTTTTTTTTTTTTTTTTTTTTTTTTTTTAAAGACATGTTCTCCCTATATAGCCCTGGCTAGCCTGGAACTTGCTATGTAGACCAGGCTGGCCAGGTTCACAGCGCTCCGCCTGCCTCTGCCTCCTGAGTGCTGGGATTACAATGTGCACCACCGTGACGATAGCAAGGAAGAAAGCAGGATTGGTCTCAATCCTGCAGCGGCCTGCAGCTTCCCTGGATCTCACAGGAAGGCTTGCCTCTACTTTCCCTCCTCTTGAGAGAGAAAAGAGCAAGCAGCTCATTTGAAGGAGATGAGACTCACCTTCCGTAGCTGGGTTTTTGTCTCATAGTAGGCAATGACAGGAATGGATGCTCGGTGGTAGGCCTCCAGACGCTTGGCAATGGTCTTGGCAGTGTCCTCCCCACGCTGGCTGCTCTGGCTTCTCTGCAGAAGGCGGTTGGTCATGGTGTCTGCCGAACAGTCCATGCAGATCACCAAGTGTGGGTCTCCAATCTGGGGTGAAAGAGAAGAGCATGACATGGTCAGCTAGAATTGTAGAGGTCTGGGGGCTTCCATCCCTGGGGCTGTCGGTGTCTCGCAGTGTCCAGCGTCACATTGTGGTTCGTGAGATGAGACCCACCCTGGACCTCCTGGCTCCTGTTTCCAGATTGACCTCACCACCTGCTGCCTCAGAGCTCTGTCTTGTTCAGCTTTCTGGTCACTTCACATAATGCAGCAATTATAAGTTGCCCAGTACAGCCAGTCTGGGGAAGGGTGTGTTCATGCATGTGTGCCTGTGCATGCCTGTGTGTGTATACATGCATGTGTGTATGCAAGTGCATGTGTGTGATGTGTAGGTACACACAAGTGTGTGCAGGGATGTGTTTGTTGTTCCCTATGTAAAGGTCTGCCTAACCTGTTAACTTCTTGTTCACACCACCAGCATGTCTTATTCCAGCCACCAAGAACACCCTATGCTGGGTGTGTATTCCATGGAGTTAGGGAACAGAGTTGACCAAGAAGGTACAGACTGGAGTCAGGCTGTTAGGACCAGAGTCTGATGTAACTAGTTTCATCCCTTGCCACGTTTCAGCTAAAAGCTGTTTCGTCCACTGAGATGCTGAGTTCAGCCTTCTGTGCCCTCGAGTCTGCGTTGCTCTGTAACTCTAGGGCAATGCACCCTGGAGTCTGCGTTGCTCTGAAACTCTGGGGCAATACACCCTGGAGTCTGCGTTGCTCTGTAACTCTGGAGCAATAGAAGGGTGTGGGAATGAGGGTACCGACTTTTTGAGGTGTGGCAGGGCCTCCTAAACTGTTTCCATTCATGAGGCCCTGTTCTGCCTGAGTAATTTTTACACTACTCCGAGGGTACAAATATTTAAAATAACCATACAAATTAAACATTTGCTGATAATAAATTATAAAGAAATTAATTCTGAGACATTTGGTATACATACAATTTTACCATAAGAAACCACAATGTCTGTCTGGTCTTGTGTAATACTCCTCAATACAGGGGAAGCCACAATGTCTGTCTGTCTGGTCTTGTGTAATACTCAATACAGGGGAAGCCACAATGTCTGTCTG